ATTAGGTTGGAGGCTATCCCGGATATACCCATTAGGTTGGAGGCCATTGCTACTAGGTTGGAGGCCAATGCTAATATAATATGTACAAACACAAAAATATCTCTCCTGACATCTCCAGGCGGCTGGTCCTCGGTTGACTCTTGGGCTTCGCTTTGGGCTTCGGCTTCGTCTCCTTAGTCTCCTTCGGCTTCTCGGCTTCGCCTGTGGCGGGATGTCAAGTGAGCTGCACCTGAAGGAAACACCACATGACGCCGGTTGAACCGGCATTGAACCTCCCAAAAAAAAATGGAAGCACGGGTCATAGCGCGGAAAGCCAGTTTTTGTTTACCATGTTTACCTCCCAAGAATGAACAAAGACAAAGGAATCAATCCGGAAAGAAAAACTGATGCAAATGGAGATTGGGGCGGGACTTGAATCATGAAACACTGCTTGTTTGGGTGGTAAAAGATTGGCAGCACCCCCGGCTGTTTGCTTTTGATGAAAACCCAACTGGCCAGGTGTCAACTCACCCTGGCTCTTTTGTGCCAATTGTTCCTAACAGCACCTCATTCATCCTCATTGATAACAATGCCTCCCCCCTTCATGTACTACCTGAGACCAAAAACACGGCAGGGCACAGAAATGCGCACGCCATCCCTCCCATCCAGTCTGGCGCCCCATCCCTCGCCTCCAGGTGCAGTGGCCTCCGCCTCTGGGGCCTCCGCCTCCAGGGGCGGCACAGCACTGGCCTCGATCGGCGCAGAGTGCGGTGCTGTCCGGATTCGTCTGTTGGATACAGGATGATGCAGAACATGGCGCGAGCATGGTCGTTCTGCAATTCGTGTTCCCCCCCTTAGCTTTGTTCAACACGGAGTCGAATCGGATTTCCTTTCGAAAAGGGTTTCCTTTCACAAGGCTATCTATCCCATTTCTCCCCCCCGAACTCCCCAAACTCCGCGCCCACTCTGCGCGCGCGGAGCGCGCCCAAGCAACCACGCCTTCCAGGGCTTCTTCCGCTTGGGCTCCGCCAGTGCTTTCAGCCGCTCCATCGAGACCACCCGCTTCGGTCTCGTTGGTGCGCTCGGGCTCCGGCTCGTCGCAGCGGTGCCGGTCTTGGCTCCTGCGGCGACCGGTCTGCCGGTTGGCAAGGTGGGAGACGAGAACATGAAGAGCATGGACATGGGTTGAACCATGATGGACGAGTTTGGTTCGCCCTAAAACGGTCCTTGCCAACTTTCACTCGTCTTGCAATTGACCCCTAACATTACTCCAATCCTTGGTTGCTTTTGGGCTGCTTTCTTTTCTCCCTTGTCCTTGTCAGCTTGTCAGTGTGTTGTTTGTCTCTGTGCCTTTCCATTTCTTTTCTCTTTTGTTCTTTTGTTCTGGGGGGTACGCCATGTTCTTGTGCATGCCACCCCAACTAAACCAAGCCTAGCCTAGCATCTCCCAGCTTGCCTTTTCTTTTTCCTATCCATCGTCTCCTGGCCTTGTCTCCTGGTTCTACTCCAGTCTTCAGACTGCAGAAAAACCTCTCCTGTGAAATACACCGCGCCCAAGGAGACTCTCTCCAAGCCATTGCCGCCACCCAACATGCGGGTCACCTGGGCGGGTCGAAGGGACGTCTCGTCCGTCTCGTCCTTTCCGTCGCGAAGGGGCGGGAGTCGGTTGCGAGGTCGTCCTCGCGACGTGGCGTCCTCGAGGTGGAAGACGTCCGGGGATTGATGGAATGGGCGCCCGACTGGGGGAACTCGATCCGCCGAATGGCCTGAAAGACTTCGATTTCAACGAGTGCGACAAATCTTCGGTCCATCCGAGCTGCGATGGTGCTGGGTCGTTTCGACTTCAGCACCTCAGGCAAAATGCTCGAAAACGAGCATGCGATGTTTCGTGCTTCGTTGCCTTCGTCGTCAGGGTGTACCACCACGGGTTGTCGGTCGACTTCGTCCCGGACGGGAGAGGTCAGGCATCGATCCGGCAGAGAAGGCTGAACAGAAACCGGTGTCATCAAGATCTGATTTGGATCTGAGGATTTATGATGATATGATGACCAACAGATCATAACAGATCTACAAAATGGGATCTGGGAGAAAAGCCCCAACAACGGATGAGTTATGATCAAACACCCAGTTATCAGGGATGAGGGATGGGGGTACCCCCATTGGATGAAAACCGTGATCTGATTTGATGGGATATAGATCTACTTTTAGGTGCCCGAGCTCGAGGGCTGCACATCAGAGGAAGAAGGTCTGCAAAATGGTGAGGCAAGTACGTGGGATACGGTGACTGACAACCTATTAAAGCTATACAAGGAAAGGGAGACTGGTAAGGTAGATCTCTTGACTAATAAACCCTTCGAAAGTTTCAGAGGTTCTTCAATTCAACTGGGGGCGCTCTTATGAAGTCCAAGAAGTCTACTAGACTGAGGTAGACTTGCTACTGACTTTACAACACAACACACCAAGCACTAGTGGAACAAGTCTCCCATCGACCTGCGTGAGGCGACGTCGTCGATAGGTGCGCTCCCTGGATGCAGACCGGGGCAAGAAAAAAGGCACCCATGTATGTCCCTCCCAACATCCGTAGGTGACAAACATCCGTAGGTGGCATGAAACACGGACCAAAAAGGTTGAAACGAACACATAGATCCAAGTCAACCCTTAAACCTACAAGTCTTTGTGGGTCTTTGACTAAAACAGCTACGCTCTGGACGAACACATGAACAGCTACAAACCCCCTTCGCTCCAGCACGCCACGTGAAGTCTTCCTGCGAAGCAAGTCCCAACCAGAAACAGTCCTGGTTGTTCCAATATGGCGCCAGCTTGAGATCCTCTACATAGGACATGGCTGGGTGTTTGGGTTTCGTTCCATCCAGACATCTTTCTGGGTGGGACTGGAGAAATCCAGGCCGAATCCAGCCCAAGGCACGGGACAGCTCTTGGGCCTCGCCAGCCGCTCCTCCGCGGAGAGGGCGCCCGCGCCGTCGCGCCAGGCGCGGGGCGTGCGGGGTGTGGCGTCGGAGGCCAAGGGGCCGACCATCTGCGGCGAGGCACCCGGTGAAGCGGGACGAGGTGAGGAGTTCGTTGGTTTGTGCCGGGTTTGGCGGGGGTGATGTTGGGTCATGGACATTCACCCCCACCTTTCTGGCGAGAGTCGGTGGAACGTGTCAAGTGTTGAGAGTCGTGGAGTGTCTCCGACTTCTCGTTTCTTGCTCCGACACCTCGAAACCGCGGGGAGTCACCGACTTCTATGCCGACTTCAGCGGCTCGAAGACGCTCGAAAGCCGCGGTGGCGTCTTCAGGTTCGACGGTTCCGTGGTTCCGTGGTTCATGGAGAACACCCCGGGAAACCACGCACACACACACTTGGAACTGGGCTGCTGCCCGACACCAGTCTGATGACGAAAGCATAAAGAAATTCCAACGCAACACAAATGCCACTAATTCTCCACAACAATAAGGCTAATCGAGGGTCCTCAACCAACAATGAGGTCATCAGGCTCTGTTTTTGTTGGCGAAGTAAATGAAAGCACCCAAATTTAGAACCCACGCATAAGTGACAAGAGCATATACAATGTACAATATTATAACATGTTGAAGTTTTTATACACGATGTTCATGGATTTGCAATTAAAGAACATTTGAAAACCTCTCACACAGGCAAAAAGGGGGCCTACCTGTAAATCTATATCCACGATGGATTCAATTACCTGTGATTGTTTCAATCTGGTCATTCATGTTCGTGACCATACCTGCAGTACCACTCTGCTCTTCACAGCCTGTCACTCTGGCGTTCATCAGTCACCGCAGTCCCACGGCCTTGGCTAAGAGCTTTGGAAGGACCTTCCGTTGAGTCCTGACATCCTCAGGGGGAAGGGCAACTCGGTGGCGGGGCAACCGCAGGCAGAGAAGGTACAAAAAACCTTCGCAAAACACAAGGGCGAACTAGTCTGCTCAAACCGGGCGAGGAAGGAACATGAGCAAAGAACTTCGCCGACCTGGACATGTCTTCCAAAAAGGAACCGGGTGCCCACTTCCCCCTGCTTTCTCGACGAGGCCATGTATTCTAACATGTCTTTACATCCCTGGACTGCTGGAAGATGCAGTCTGGAACCGCGGAAAGACGGCCGCACATGGCGATTTTTTGCGAAGGTGTCCAACAGCTTAAAAGGTCTAGTCACTCCATGTGTCATATTGAGCTACAGTAAATCTGGTCTTCTATGCTCATTCTGTTTGTTGATGCTGTATAGAAGTTGTTCGATCTTCTATAAATATCCAACCTGATCCCCAGCTTGAGTGCCGTCCTCAGCGTAGGGCTTCGGACAGCTATGCCAGGTCTGCTGGAGGGGCGGCAGCCGCTTAGAGGGGCGCAGCTGGCTGCTGCTGTGGGCTGCTACCAGCTGCGTCCTTTGTTGATCAATCGCAGTGGAGGACGTATAAAACCATCCGGCAGGTCAAAAATCTCCACAACTATATAACGGTTTCTCTCATGGCACAGTGCCTGAGAATCCAAACGCGCAAGAAATGCTGCGCGGTTATGTAAAACATCACCGTCTACATCATCAACTCATTGGACCGTGTTCACTCGCCGAGCCCGCCGAGTTCAGCCCTTCAGCCCGGTTTCGCCAAACAGGATGCCCTTCTAAAGCTCTACTTAGCGTTTGCTAAGCCGATGGAAAACCTGGATAAGGCACGCGCCTGGGGTGGAATTGAGTGACATGGCCGAGCAAAGGTCAGTATTGTCTCAACTAAGGCATATTATTCCACGAGGGACCCCTGCTACTGTTAAAAGGCGCCATTCTTTTTACTAGGTTGGAGGCCATCGCTATAAGGATCATTAGGTTGGAGGCCATCGCTATTAGTCTGGAGGCCATTGCTATGAAAGGCACCATTCCTACTGGAAAAAAGACCCCTGCTTCTGTTAAAAAGCAACCTTTCTTTGTTGCCATCAATGATGACTGGCTCAATGGGAGAGGTCAGAAGTCTATGAAGTCCATAGAGTCTATATGAGTTTATGGTTCTAGCACCTAATAGCCATGGCCTCCAACCTACTAACCAGCGATGGCCTCCAACCCATGGTCAATGTAAGAAATCGTCAAATTCCTATGAAGTGGTGGATGATGCTTCCCCAGTATCAGTTGAGCTTGATATTGACAGTAGCTCACATCGGGGGTGGGATCAGGTCGGTCGTAAGAACCGGGTATTCAATTCGTTCTCTTGAGCATAGGGACCTCGCGGTGCGAAACACCGCTGACCGCGGGTTTGGAAGGACTGTCCCTATTGGACTGCCCACTTTGGGACTCTAGGACGGTCTGAGATGTTGAATGGACCACTTACCAGCAGTCACGTTCGACGGGGTGCGATCCATGGAGGTAGGAGTTGGGTGCCCCTGTCGCATCTAAACACCACCCCGTCTTGTGACTCCTGGTAGTGGTGATGTCCGGTGGGAAACGAAACACGCTCCAACCATCTCCAACACAAAACAGGCGAAATAAAAAAGGCTGCAGGCCGTGACCTAGTAAGATACATGCCTCCGATTTTCGACCTATTTGATGGGCCGCCATGGAGCCATGCAAGGCGGCCGACGCTCCCGCTTGCCATGTCCCAAATCAATCCAAATCAGCCATTTGGCAACATCCCTGCCTACACTTTTGGAGCAACATGGGCGTTACCAAATTGAGAGACCCTTGTTTTGCAGTGCTCTGAGAAGCCCGCCGTCCAATGCCCGGCTAAACCGGGCATCGCGAATCGCTGCAATTCTGTCAGATCTGGTTGGTGTTTTCAGCTCAAAAAAAAAAACATCAGTCAGTGGGCTCAATCATCCCAAGTCAGGGTTGAAACCACCCGGAGATCCTCCGAACTGGCCGCACAAATGGCCCGCCCTCAATGGCCCGCGCCACTTACATGGCCTTCCCAAAACCACGGGTATCGAAGTGTCTGACTGCCACGGTCCATTGACAACTCTCCCATGGCAACCGGTCCCTAAACCCCCCGGTCTGCGCGGTCTAGGGATCTATGGTCGTGGAGGGCGTGGAGGGCGGGTCGATGTCGAAGAGAGTCGGAAAGAGGTCAAAACCCGACGACCGAATCTCATTGTGACTGCGTGACGTTCTTCGGCTTCTTGTGACGTTCAGAGCGATGGCCTCCAAGCTACTTGCGATGGCCTCCACTTAATCATGATTTCAAGCTATTTCAAGCTATTCCAATCTACTTCTGATCCTGTCTGACACTATCTATGTCTATCGCGTTTTCATGCCTCCCGTCCAAACATCGTCACGGGTGGCCGCTGTGACCGGCCAGTTGGCCAGATCTTACTCTAGGACTCTCGAGCTCTGAAAACCAAAGCTCGGGCGCTCAGCCAACGCTGCGGTGATGTACGGTCGACAACAGCTGGAAGCGTTGGAACCAGCGAATGTAGATTCTTGATTCATACCCGCCCTTTGAATTGAAAACACCTCATATGGGGGGGTGATGAATCAAGAGTCTACATTACATGTTATTACGTGTTGAAGGCAATAAGATTGCAATGATGAACTTCACCGTTCTCGGACGGCAAATGGGGGAAAATCACGAATGGCCCTTGGTTGGTGTTGAATAGATCGGGTGTAGGCTCACTGGCCCAAACACAAACTGTTGGCACTACTGGATCAGCCTGAGCCATTTTCTCAGTCATTACCTGCCAAATTCGGTCGGACAGGTAGGTGGGGACAGGAAGCCGTGGGTGACTTCATGGTCCACCGTTCTTGGAAGTGCCAGCATCCTCCCCAAATAAGAAACACACTTATATATCATAGATCTATATAATATCGGTCGAGGAAAGCTTGATTTGAAGGACTTCTGGTGATCATTTAGTACTTCTAGCAGTGTCCCAAAGCACCAACCCGAACAATCCACTGACTCCTTGCCAAAGGATCCACCTGTTCCCTGCCTTCTCGTCGAAGGAGTCAATCTCGTCTCGCAACCTGTGAATCAAAGCAGGGACCAGATCCTATCAGATCCTCCTAGTCTCCTGTGAATCGGAAGGTCCTCTCCGGCGCTTTGGCCCATTTGATCCCTGTTTTGATAGGCCAGATCCATATTTGTGGTGGTTGATGGTTCAAACTAGTAGAGGTTCAGCTTCGTGCAGCACACAACTGGTCCTTCACGGTCTTCCTAAGATTTCGACAAAAAACACACGATCCGTTCTAGACGTCCAGCCCTTTTTTCCTTTTGAGGAAAAAATACATATGTCGTGAACATGGACCATGAACCTTGCGACCGAACCGAAGGTGTCCTGGCTGGAGATCCACAATTCAGGATACGTGTAGGTGGAAGAGCCGGTGACTGCAAGGAAGGTGCCTTTTTTATGAAGAAATGTCCAAAAATTGTGTGAACCTGAATCCCCACTGTGATGTGGGGCACGAGAGAAACTGATTCAGGCTGGAACATCTGGGTTTTTTCACCGATGTGGGTCAAGTCATTTAAAGGCATCCAAAAACCCAGTGACTGGTCGAAAATCCTTGTGATATTTTGTGTGTTGCTCGAGTCTTTTGTGCCCTGGTCAAAATCGTAAACTGGATGCAAGGCTTGTCAACAATGACGATATGCATCACTTGCACAACCCGCCTGGTGTTCTCACCAGAGAGTTCCTCAGGATGGTGGGTGGTGTGCCATGACGGACTGGCCGTGGGAAAGGACATGCAAGGATATGTGAAGTTTACGATTGGCTTCGATCAGTCAGTGGACTGTGGATAAGAGGATTAAAGTGACATGGTTTGGGGATGGATGAGTTTCATCTGGGAGTTCAGGGATCCCTTTTCAGGTGTTCTTTTGGTAAAATGTGGCGGTTTGTGTCTCCACAAGCCCAGCGTTTGATTCGCTGGTCTTTCGCAGGTCTTTTCGCTGTGATGGTGAGACTGAGACTGGTCGCCGTATGGAATACGAATTGGTCTGGACACGGCGACCAGAAAGGTTCCAACATAAACAAACAAAACTCCCCTGCTGCTCGAAGACGACTGAGAGATCGGTTTGGTGGGGTAAGGGATCCGTTTGGATGTAGTTGGATCTGAACTTTGTGAACAGTTCAACCGCTTCGTGGGTACCGTGGCTGGGACCAACCAGCTCTCTATCGACTCTCCTCTCAGCATGTGAGCCATCGACCATGTGAGCGTTCCCCAAGGCAAAAGGACTTTGAAACATTTGGGTGTCGAAATGTGTTCAACCCCACACTACTTGGGGATCTCCCCACGGATGGTCCTGCTTGGATGCTTTTCACTTTGCGTCTAGTCATGTCCCCAAAGGCTTAGTGGCAGGACCCTCAGTTCGGTAGCTTTTTGGACCCTCACAACGAACGGGTGAACTGGAGCCTTCACCAACATGTACTGTAGCAGGTTCGGGGCCGAACGGGTCGCCTCTGGGTTGCATGTTTCATTTCAAGGGGGAAGATTCCGGGGAAAGATGTGAGGAAGATGGGCGAATGGATGGACGACCGACTATAGGCGACAATGGCGGTGAAATCCAATCATGTAAACGGTTGATTGGATTTCAACCTTATATGAAGAGGTCTTACAATCTAAATGTTTCTTCTCCATCAACTGTCTACGTTAAGGGGCCTCAACCTCAGCATGTTGAAAAGATTGAAAAGCTTCTTGACCAAAGATTCAGGCTTTCTTGAGCAATTGAACCCAACTCCCTCCCCTCAACCAAAAAAACACCATAGGGCCATACAGACACAAAGACCGGGCTCCGGAGTAGCTTCCGGATCTCAACAAAATAGAAACTAAATCCAGCGCTCAAAAAGCTTCCATCTCCAAGCTTACCTGGAGCCAAAAAAGACAGGACGACCAACACACACCATTAGCTCCAAGCCACGCTGGCTTTATCCGCCACCTTCTTGATCTCTACCTGATCAGCGGCTCTCCGTCCCAGACGAGTCAGACGAGTCGTCGCAGTCTTATGTTCCTCCAATCAACTTGCTGGGAACAGCGATTCGGGGACGTCCCACCAATATATATGCCGGTCTCCGCGTAGACCGCCAAGCCGCCAAGCCTATGCACCACGCGCCCCCGTGCCATCGGCTGATCGTCTTGTCCCGTGATCTGGGGCCTTCAGTGAAGCCTTCTCCTCTTCCTGGCCATCAATGCCTGGCGCGCACGAACACATACGGAACGTCCACGCGGCGTCCGCATGGTGTGAGCAGATGATGGCCTTTTGAGCAAAACTTTCGGGTAGAATTTGTGAAGAATCCAGCAGCTCTCTGTTGTTCAGAAGTTCCCTCCACTTGTCATCCAAGAGAGTCTATCGCTGGTGCTCTACCCCTTCAGGACACATTTGCAGCCTTAAAGGGGTTGTCACATATTCCCCTCAGAACTGGACGTGGTCGCTTTGACCCAGCCAACTTTGGAAGGTTATGGCGCTGCAATATATAAGCGAGAATTCGTCGAGCAAAGCTGGCAGTCTTGCTTCCAACCGAACATCAAAGGCCAAGGCGGCTAACAAACCAAGATTCAACGTGCTCCTTGACACACCAGTGGCTTTCAGGGTTCGTGTTAGTTTGCAAGGGGTTCTCTTGATTGGTTTCCCAACATCCTTGGTAACCTGCGCCGGCGCCGCGGCTTGCGAGGTAGGCGTTCTGCGTCTGAAGCTGACCTGAGGGACTTTGTGCGGACGACTCACGTCACAGGCTGCGAGTGTATCGGTGTCAAACCTCTGGAAGACTCGGACGATTGTGACATCCTCCCAAGCAGGTGATGATTTCACTCCCAAGCAGGTGATGAGCCCACAGACATTGGGATGATCTTCCTTGCATCTATATAAATGTCTGGGGTGGATCTGGAAGAAAGCTGGGGTGGATCTTCCTTGCATTAGTTTGTAGATCTTCCTTGCATCTTGAAAGCTGGGGTGGAGAGGTACAGAGTATGGATCTCCAATCGTTGGACCTCTATCGCTTGGCTGATCGAGGACGTCAAATGTGTGTTCCTTTCCAACTCAACTCCGGACCATCCACACCTGCCTAGGCCTAGGCTTAGGGAGTCCGAGTCGCCTCTGGGAGTCTCTAGGAGTCTGAGTCTCGAAAAGCCCTTCCCATTTGGCACGGAAGGCCTCTGGCTCCCGGAGCACGCTCCCAGCAGTCCCAGATCCGTGGAGTGGGAGCTAAATGTTCATCTCGAATACATTCCAGGCTTAATTCACGTGGGTGTGCGCAACCGACATTGAGGAGACCTAGCTTCCCGCATGGAAAGAACATGACTCATGAACCAACCAAACAACCAACCAACCCATTAGTTCAGAGTTGGGCACGGCACACCCGGGTCTCATCCGGGCACAACCAGAATCCACTGGCCTACTCGATCGTTGTGCTCCGTGATCTCCTTTTCCGCCTCGCAAGGAACTTGGGTGGCTCTTAGCAGCTATTATCCCAAGACGCAGTTTGCAAATTCATCAAGTTTAAGCACACAGGATCTGTTGACTTGTTTAGCCCAATCACGGCAAATCGCGGCAAACCTGGGAGTAGCACTCAAGCCCATTGAATTCTTGTGCTGAGCTTGGAAGGGCCCCCACGTCCAGAAGTTTCTATGGATACACATCCAAATGGCCATGGTCTGATCTTTGGTGCCGAACATAGAAGAGATGTTGAAACACAATGGCCAGGGTTGTCTGGATGATCTGACTGAGTACATAACTTTTTGGAGTTGAAACATTGAAAACATCGATGCACTTAAGACTTAAAAGTAGTAGGAATGTTAAAGGCTTTTACTTTATATTTGGGTAAGTGGTGATTTTAAGAGGGGCGTAAGGCGGTCAAAAAAAGAGTGCTAATTAGTAGATTATATACCTAAACAGGATGGCAAGCCGATTCAGCTGATTGATCTTTCGCAAGCTTGCTTCCGGTGGTGGTTGCTAAAGAGAGATTTGTACCAGTCAGGGAGGTCAAAATGATAATCAAAAAAAGAACGACGCTTCGAATCGAATATGACCCGTGCCTGTTTCCAACAGGTCCTCGTTTTCCTCGCTGTGAGCGATTCGTCGTTTTACGGCCACCCCATTTGGACCCCCATACTACAACCGTGTTGGACTGATGTGAAGTTCCGCCTCGGTCTTGAGCTGTTTCGACCTGCGCGTTTGACACGTTGTCCTCCCCTCCCCAACGGCGAGGCCTTTTCCTGTGCGGCTTGGGAGAGTGTCACATTGTCCTCGATCTTCTTGTTCTTCCTTGGCGGATCTTGCGTCAACAGCTGGGGTGCTTTTCGTTGAGGCTGCACAGCCATTTCGCTGGGAGGAATGGGGAATGGGAATGAATAAAAACCATCATCAAACTTGAGTGGACATACATGTGGGGAACATCTGGGCCCACGCTTGAGGCCTGTTTCATCCTGTTTCTCTACTTAGTCACGACTGCAGAAAAACTTTGCAAAACCTCCATAAACCCCATAGTTCACCTGGTTGTACTATGATCCGCAAATCGATTGAAAGATGAATGCATCTCAACTTCATCAATCAATTGAAGCATCCGTTTGTCCAACTATCGGCCTGAAACTTCATGCTCACTCATGAAACAACGCTCGGCTCCGGCACAACTGCTGAGCTCCAGGCTTCTTGAGCACCACGGCCTCATGGTGTCACCACTGGCGACTTCACCGATTTGGCAAGTTAAGACGTCACTTTCTCGCGAGGCGGAGAAAGCCGCACGCCCCAAATGGACAATTCCACTACAGCAAACTTCCTAGCAGGAGGGATTGAAGCCCCAAAACTACAACCTGTAAGGCAGAAAAAAAAAAACTGCTGGTGCACCTTCCATGCCGAAACGGCCGAAGGGGCACAGAGTGCTCCGACCGCCAGGCGCGGTAGAGCTATCACTAGGCGTCCAAACCTCCTGTTCCGCTTCCTTTCGCTCTTGCTCTGCAAGCACCTGCGATACGCGAGACGCCCGCCGTGCCACCGTCGAGGACCGGGAGCGGAAAGGTCACAGGAGCAGCAAACGAATAAGAACACCGTTCGCGCCATCGATCTCTTGGTGTTTATTTTTGAATGTCCACAGCCAGGAACTATATATATATATACCAGGTGAATCCATGTATGGAACCTTGGCCGACATTAGGGTGGTTTTGAGGATCAATTTAGCGAATTTAGTAAGTGCATATTCCATACATGGATTGTTAGGGAATCCCATGCTGCTGATTTTCGCTGCTGTTGATTATGCCACGGCCACCAGGTGGCGCATCTTCTTGGCAAAATAAGCCAGCACGGGCATTGCAGCCGCCAGATCAAGGGAGTACCACATTCCTGGGCGGCACTTGGACAAGTCATTTGGAGAGTACTGTTGAGTTTTGGCACTACCTGGAAAGCAGAAAGCATCCGAAATCCACAGGGCAAGTAGGAATGGAGGTCAAAACATGCCAAAGGTCTTTTGTTAAAAGCATGGTTTTATATCTCTTTTGGAGAGGGGGCATCAAAAACAATGTTTTTGACACTTGAGGATTTTGTGCTGCTGAATGCAACCATGATTTGTAGCGGCTGAGCGCTTACTCAGCAACTGCAGAACTAGTTTCCATGCGGGCTAGCTAAGTCTAGCTAAGTCTGAGGAACAAATATGTAAGTACTTATCAGTGACTTAGCTTGGAATAGCTTGGACTTGGCTACGGTTAGACGGCTGGCTACGGTTAGACGGCTTACTAAGTCCGAGCCAAGCAACTTCTGACAGTTCTTGTCACTTCACTTTAGTCTTTGTTAGGCTATACGTGTCAGAAAATTGTCTGACAGTTTTTCCTTGTACTTCAGGCTTAAACACTTTGACTGACCAATCGGCTAGGACTTAGCTTAGAAGTACTGACTTAACTTGGACTTAGGTCGAACATGGGTTGGACTTACTAAGTCCAAGCCAAGTTCAAGTTAGCCTTGTTTGACTTGTCTTTTGACTTAGCCAAGTCAGACCGAAGCACTTACTATAACCTCTAATTCTAGAGTCAACCGTTTCCAAGCTAAATCAATCCTGACCCTTACAAAGGTTAAGTGACTCAAACCAGGGTTACTGGTAATTTACTATTGCATTAGCAGACTTATATACTAAGTTAGCCTTATAATATTCCTGGCATGCGAACAAAGCCTTAATTAAAGCTTGTGATGATTCCTGTGCTGTGTTCGCTGAATGGCCACCTCCCATGACTGCAGCTACACCGTGACAGCTTCCTTCAGCCAATCAATGAATGATGTGATTGAAAATCAGATATGCATCAAGCTGTGGCTTTAGTTCTCTGTGCGGATGATGCGCGGAAGGGTGTTGAGGTCCCCCGGGTCTCCCACATCATCCTACATCCATGTAAAAACCTGCACGGAAATCATGGTCCCAAAACCGGGCTTTCAATCCACACCGCAACAAAAAAACTCATGGTGGTCAGGCACACCGGGAGCCGGCCACTTGTCGTCCCCTCCAAGAGTGGAGTCCTCGCGTCAAAACCTCTTCTCGCAGCTCCCACTTGTTGTCACCTTGAGCCCTTCCACAAAGTAAACTCTCTTAAACACGTGCGTGGACCGTGAGAACATGGATCTTGAGAAAAGGACGAATTAAACACCGTGAAAATGGACCCCTGTAAGACTCTCTTCTCATCTACCACCCAGTGGTTTTCAAGATGGATATTAATCTGCAGGAAGGTTGAGTGTGCTCACATAGCACCTGGATGCCGATGATATCAAGGCAAAAACAGGAAAGAGATGTTCTCAAGGCCAGGTGAGTTTGAACACACTGAGTTGAATTCATCCTTGCTAGCACCTTTCTGTGCATATTATCCATCATGATAGAACTGCGGGTTTGTTTGTTCAACATGTTTTTCTGTGTGATAATCACCATCACTCATCATTGACCAGCAGCCGATCAGGATGATGGGCAGGCGGCTTTGTTGAAGTTCCCGTCTTCTGGCGAATCAACCGGACGAGTGGCAGCTTATTTGGGCAGCGGGTATATCTGGAACAGATCGAAAACCGAGAAAAACAAGGTCAGTTGTTTTAAGTCTTGTTTTGGTTTTTCGAACAATCCAAAAACAAACAAGAAGTTTGCTGCATTCCAGGTACTCTTCGGAATCCAAATATCTGGTTCTTGAACTGCATCGGCAATTCTTTAAAATCTCCTGCTCGGGTTCTGCTCGAATCCCTCGCAGGCTTCCTGTTTGAGTAGGTGCACTTACCAACGCCCCAACACGACCCCTTCTTTTGGCCCCACCCACAAAAATCTAGATGGAACCGACGAGCTTGAATGCGCGCACGCGTTCGATAACAAACGGCCAAACATTGTTTGACACTTTTGTTGGACATTCGTAGGAGATGCTCTTCTTGGACACTCTTGCAGGATTCTCTTGTGGGACACTCTGCGGGGCACTTTTGTGTGACACCCTTAGCCTGGCTTCCTCCAAAAGTCACCCGTCAAGTCTCCAAAACAAGCGTTTCGCACAACACTTCCTCAAAAAGTGAAGCGGGAAGTCTCATCAGAGGATCAAAGGGAACAGCCCGCAAAACCACAGTAGCCGCGGACACACCAATCCCACTGCCACACACTGACCTCCACCAAACATCGCAGCCTTACGATTCCCTGCGCCTCCCATGAAAATTAGACTTCCACACTGTGCCTGCCATGAAGTTTTTCTACATCACATCTTCATGTCTTCAGCAAAATCACCACCACACCACACGCTTGTCATGGCCTTGACACTTTCTGAGCCCACGGCGACATCCAACACCTGGAGGGGACTAGCCAGCGAAGGCCCCAATGGCAACACCGAAGGAAACGGAGGATCTCACGAAACGCTGCACCTGCGCAGCAAAATCATCCTCCACACTTCAACATGTGACGTTTCCATGCTATTTCACATGAATCTGACACTTCAGGCTTCCATCCAAAACCTCCTTCAAAAGCTTCCCCGAATGGCAGAGCCTTATCAATCACATTCGGACGGTTGCATCAGGCTGCGAACATGAAAGCAACGTCACGCCAGCACAGCTCTACCCCTATGGACCCCCAGAGATCAACGGGAACCCTTCGCTACGCACTCGGGACAAGCTTTGGACGAAGCGCTTAACCTCGCCTGCCACCAGATCGCCGAAGAGTTTCTCGGGGTCAATCAGGGTGGCGCCGGCATACCTAACAGCGACATCGGACGCTTCAAAAAGATCCAATGGCATTTGGGCTAGACCAAACCGATGAAACAAACGTCTTTGAAAAAAAGAAGTGACCCTTGGCGGACCAAAAAACAAACAAACATGGTTGTCCTTGTGCAAAGGATGATCCTTCAGTTTCTGGCTGTGTTGGTTGGTGCATGATGTTCATCACAATGCCAGGACAAAAAAACAAACCAAGGGCTAGCTAGGCATTTGTTGACCTCCTGCTATTGAACATACCAACCGGTATGGCTTTTGGAGTCCATGTCTGCCGTTATTCTTTGATCATCTCTTGCCGTACCGAGTTCGCAGCCGTATGGAGTGGATCTAGATAAGCTGTAAACTGTTAGAATGCTGGGCCTGGTTTTTTTCTTCGTCTGCCTTCACCTTGAGAGTGGGGGCACAGGAAAAAAGGAAACTCACATCTGCCCCATCGAATCGAGCAGCTGGAATTTTGTGTTCCTTCTTTTCAGCAGGGCCGGTGCCCTTCTGGACTGTTTGCTTGAAACATATCTAAGACGTTTTTAAAGAAAGACTGTCACTTCACCGGCCTCTGGTCGTTTGTGGCGCCGTTAATTGCCGGTTACTGGACCCTTCACCGTGCTCGCAGCAGTTTTCATCGGTCCGAGGGAGTCGGGACATCGGCGAGACCGGCGTGGGCGGTTCTTGGGGTTTCCATGTGGCGTTCCACGTGTGGCCGTGGCGTTTCAAAGGTGTCGTATAAGTCCTGGGCCGAGTGCGGAGTCCGGGTTCCAGAATCTCCATTTCTTCCGCTTCCATGTGATGAATTGCTTGAGATGTTGGAAACAAGTTCTGGGAAAAATAAAGGACACTTGAGGTTGTGTAAAAACCCCATGCGAATACTAATTTCTTACATGGGAGGGTCTTTATACTCTCTCATATGACAAATGGAAGTCCCAGAATGAGGGTTGTTCCATCCCCTTTCCGCCGATCACAAAAAAAAAAGCGCCGTCCGCGGTCCGCGGGGACGAGTCATCCGAAGGTGATGTCGGTGGCCTATTCTCAAAGCTTTCTCAACCCGATAGGATTCGAGCCACCATGGGTTTAATCGCCTTCACTGACGAACCATGAAAAGACTGACTGGTCAACCGAACTCTTTCAATGATCAAATTGAAGGGTCCAGTTGGCCTTGAGTTGGAGGCTCATTCCTGAGAAGTGGCCCGTCAATGCGGTGTTGCGTTGCCTTTGCGGTCGTGGTTTTCTCTATAGTTCCTCCAGTGGAAGTGGAAAGCTAGCTGTCTGTAGAAGAAATACATTTCCAGGAGGCCATTGTCCATGTATGTCCATGTCCTGATTTCAAGGCTTCGAGGGCTTGTGTGCCGCAAAATTACTAGCCACCTGCGCACCACAAAGCAAACCCAAAACTCCAAGCGCAGGGCGTTTTTTAAACGAGACAAGTTTATCATCATCGAGAAGGGAGGAAAGAATGAAAGAGCTCTGTTCATATGATGCACTTGGGTTGTCCCTTCGGGTGCACCAGAAAACACACAAGAGTAGGAAAAAGTATCCCTGGAAGTCGTCGTACATTTTTTAAATGTAGGTTGCCGAACCTCTGTTTCTTATAGGTCAACCGTATTTGGAGTGGGTTTGTGCTCTGGTCCTGATCGCCTCTATATCTGCCCAGGTCTCTTGGAGAGCTCTTGAGATGGTGTGGGCCATTTCTGCCCAAATCATCAGCGCATCTCACCACGATGCTGTGATATTATGGCAAAGTACTCTCACACTGGCCATGTACAAGTTTTAGATATATGCATACATGCCAGCTGTCTAGACGTCCGACCCTTTCGATCAGCCATGACGGGGCTTCACCATATACTGGCATGAGCTGCGCCCTTAAACTCACCATGTACCATGCATGTGTGTAGATCGACGAAATGGTTCACCTATGTTGAACCTCAGGTCAAACCATTGATCAGGGGCCAAGCGATGAAGAAGGCACTACGCAAGAGCTTGAACCTTATTCCTTGCACCAACAACACGTATACATATGCATCATGTCTTAAACCGAGGGATGATGGCGGACCTGGAGGACGAGATGCAGTCCACCTGGCCTGATGCTGCGACTTCAGGTCCCCCCCACTGCTGCACAGTACTAGCTTGGAAGATTGAACAGGGTTCTTCAAACCACCAGGATGGCAAGTGTTCCCTTCAACAAGATCATAGAGGCCAATAAAGCTTTAAAATACATAATCTATTTGTCCAATTTCGAGGAATAGGCCTTCCTGGTGGAGTTCATATACCTGCATGTGCTTGATCTCCTGTCATCAAGGGGTCTTGGTGTGGTAGCTTCAGCGGATTTGTCCGCTGCACTTTTTGCGCCATGCATTCGATGCGGTCGACCGAACAGCAGCTGCAGCTCTTGAAGGAGCACCTCAGATTTCCGTGGGCGCTCTTCATGCGGTTTAAGTTTGGCATATATTGTATGTGCGATCTGATTATATCGATCGAGGTATATATATTAATTTTTTTGATTAATATCGATTAGAGCATTCTGTGGCAGACCTTCTTCGTGGACATCTGCACCCAGAAGGACTTCGTTGTAGATCGCCGCAAAGTCTTACAAGCTCGTCTGCAATCCAAGCGAAAAAACAATGTGCCTTTAGCCTGTTTTTGAACTTAGGGTATATCTAATATTCAGTATATCTAATTCTGCAACTGTTCAACCTGCCAGGTTGCACGATTTGAGTTTCTGCCACGGTTGGAGGGTAATGCTGGATCCAGCATAAAAGAACATGAGGTCCGAGATTGTTTTTGTGTTTTAAATTATTCAAGCCTGCAACTACTGTACGAGTTGTTTTCGCCCATGCCTTTAACCTTTTGTGCGTTGCGCGTGTGCAGGTGGAGGAGTCAGAGAATGCAGCATTTTTGCTGGAATATTTCGCTACGTTTGCAGAACAGCTTCCCGTGGATTCAGAACTGACGGACAGACATTACCAGTTATCGTATACTGCTGCCGAAAGTGAATTAATATGCACCTACCTGCAATTTCCCCAGGAGATCCTTTGTTGGACTTCCGCCAAGTTCAGTTTGAACCCACACCTCCGAGGGAAGCAGGAGCACTTGGCACAGGGCTCAGTTCTCAGCGCCCAAATTCCATTATTGCAAAGTGAGCTTGCACACCCCTGAGGGTTGGGCTGAGCAAGAGAGTGCGACCATTAGAAGCTTTGTCAGCTACATTATGGTTCGCTTCCAAGCCAACAAAGAGTCCAGGTCACAACCTCAATCTAATCTCTCTTGCAAGTGCTATCTCAAAACATTTCTAGAAGAATCAATCGTATTGACATTGGTCACATTCCAGGGCAGGCAGACCAAATATGGCAGCATTGAAGTCGATCATCCGGAAGCGGCTTCAGGACACAGGTTATGTTATGCATGCACATTACGTTTATATAAATCGAATCCAAACCGAAATCTACATGAGTGGACCTGTCAGGATGCTGGGCTCCTAACGGCTGCTGGCAAGAAGCACCCTTCCCGTGGTCGTGGTGCGTCCCAGGTATGACCCTTAAACCCTTCGAAGTTTCGATATATTTTTTTCAAGGCTGCTGATCATGCGCTAGGTATTTGATGAGATGCCTCCTGAACAGCATGATGAAGCAGCTAGTGATCCGCCAAGTGGTGATGACCATGGAGGTGTCAAAGTTCGATCAACGCTATACATATATATCGTATATATATCGTATCGTTGTAAGGTACTTGGGACGGGGTTGACATTGATCAAACCAACCAGGCGCAGAAGAAGCGGAGCAAGAATATCAAGAAGAACCAGAAGCCGAAGAGGAAGAAGAGGACCTACAGGAGGATCCAGAAGAGGAAGAAGAACCAGAAGCCGAAGAGGAAGAAAAGGACCCATACGAGGATCCAGAAGAAGAAGAACCCGAAGAGGACAAAGAGGACCAACGCGAGGAGCCAGAAGAGGAGCGCAAGGAGGGAGAAGAAAAGGAGGAACAAAAGAGCAAAGCAGACCAGGAAAGCAAAGGTGAGGAAGAGGATGAGAAGTTGCGCAATACGGCCAAGGAGGAAGATAACTCGAAGGAAGAGAAGGAAGCAAAGGAAGAGAAGGGGGTACTAGAGGAAGAGAAGCGGGAAGTAAAGGAAGAGAAGGAAGTAGAGGAAGAGAAGGAGGTACTAGAGGAAGAGAAGCGGGAAGTAAAGGAAGAGAAGGAGGAAGAGATGAGGGAAGTAAAGGAAGACAAGGCAAAGGTCCCTCCTGATGAGGCTGAGACACAGCTGATGGAATTTTGGAGGCTGGACAGTCGTGAGGACTCGCAGTTGGTGAGACATACGCCAAAGAACATGGTCAAGGGTGAGAAGGGGGAAGAGGAAGATTCCAAGGGACAGTTGAAAAAGGCTACGCATCTGGAACAGGAAGCAGCTATGCCAGCGGAGAGTCCGAAAGAAGAGGGCTTGGATCCTGAGGCTGCAGGTGTTGAGCCCAAGATCGATCCTGTAAAGGCCGAGGCAAAGGCGAAGAAAGTAAAGACTGAGGAAGAATTTGCAGTGGAAATTCTTAGCGATGATGAAGGTGCAAGCAAAATGAAAGGAAGCTTTCAGGACGTTCATGAGTTTGGCATTTCTGATCATAATTTATAATGGAAATGATATATATTGACATTATGCAAAATACTGCGAAACATCATACAGATGGGTAGATTATAGTATCATTATTGTATCGTTGGTGCAGGACCGGAAGCCTTTGGTGGAGGAGCCTCTACATCCCCCAGGTCTAGCTGCTAAGGTGGAGGGGCAGGTCGAAGCTATGCTGAGACGCACCAACTCTGATTCTGACATCATCAAGGCCAGGGAATAAAATTTTGGGCTGGACCTATTCATTGATCTATCTGTAGATCATTTAATATAGTAAAGTGGCCATCTTGAATCTCGATCGATCTTGACAGTGAACGACTACACATATTAATTGAATATTAGTTGTTGATGTGGCAGGCCCAAAGAAAGATCATC